GCACCATGTGAAATTAAAATTTGCTTCTGAGTTCTTGTACACTTAATTGTAATTTAAAAAATAGACTGTAGCAAACCATCACAGTACTGTATTTACTCTTTTGGATCAGTACAATAAGGGAAGTGACCAGCTTAGTAACAGTACAATGCCCTATCTAGGTTACTATGCATTACAGTGTGAAAGAGATCTATTGCTTTCAGTGGGTAAAACAGAAGACAGGAAATCAGAGTTCCCACCCTCTTCTGCAGTTCATCAGGTTACTTATATCCACATTTTCAAAGTTAATAATTTCGAAACCCAAAGCTTGAGCCTTGAGAAATAAAAGTTGACAAAAGATAATGATATTTGTACATAACAGATAAAGCTACACTTCTCATATCAAGTTCACAAACATTTTTTTCCATGTGTCAGAAGCATTCTGAAAATAGGGAGCAGCAAAATTAGTTTCTACAAAGTATTACCCTCCCCTAAACAACATAATTTAAGCTTTGCCCAATTTTGATTAGGTAGGGGTTGTTATCTCGCCTACCTATTGCAACATGTTAGGATAGCAATAATGTTTCTTTAAAAAGGAATCTATGTATCTTGGTACATTAACATATTGTTGTAAGTGTAGCATAAAGTGTCTTCATATTCTCTGAAGAAATGTCATGGTCTTTTATAGCAGAATATATTTTATTTCAAATAAGAGTAAAAAAACTGTGAATTTTTTTCTCCATTATGAATAAAAAGATTTATTCATTATGAATCTTCCTTCGGTTTGGTTAAAAGAACATGAAATTGCTATGTAAATAAATAGTAAATGTTAAATCTCACAAAGTACTGCCATAGTTTGGCCCTATACACTATTAGGGCAAGTAGTTGCTAGTTGTGGAAATCAGAAAATTTAGCATGTCTGAGAAAGTAAGAAATCAGTGCCGGATTTTCAGTATTTTGCACTATGCACTGTCATTGCTATCAGCTCATCCATACTTAAGAAAAAAATACTAAGACATAAAATGGATCATTTATTAACCAATTACTCATCGTAGATTGCTATCAATGAAAATACACTGGCCATTGATGTCTTCTAAATAATTTTAAACAGCAATAAAACTTGTAATGAAGGAACTTAATTTACGTAAGCAAAAGCTTCCCGTGTATAACTATCAATAATATATTATCATATTCTGTAACTCCCAAATTCTAATCTCAACTCTAAGCAAGGAATACTAAGGTTTTCAATATTTAATTAAGATGCTTCTTCTAAAAGCTTAAGTGAAACCATCTAATTAAAAAAATGCTAATGTGGAGGTATAGACTTTCCTCGTCAAAGTGATGTATCTTTTTCCTTCTTCTACCTCTTTCTGGTTTGGTTTTGGTTTTTTGAAGATAGACAATGCCTTATCAGTATAACCTTTACTGTAATTAATAAAATATTTGAAACGCCACCATGCATACACAGGCATAAGTTAGGGGATAATTAGGTGATATCAATTAGACATGGTTCAATGGCAAATCAAAATGATTATTTTGCTGGACATAATCAGTTTTAAGATAATAGGGTTTATTCTTCATCCCAATAAAATCAGTTTTTTTAAAAGAGTGGATTCCATTCTTCAATTTTTTAAATTATAAAAGTCATAGACATTTTATTTGGCTTTAGTTTTGGTACTAAAAAAAAAAAGAAGTAGCTAGGGGGAAATTACAGGGACATAATTCTGCCTTGTTCTGGCATTGTTTATATAAAGCACCAAACATGTTATAAACAGAGCTCTGTTACTACACATAAAACCAGATTAACCTCCCTATTCAAAAAGGCTACTATTTTACACAAATACAGTAAAAGTTTAAGCCTGAAAGAGCTTACAGTATATTCTGAAACAAAATGAAAAGCTATAGATTGGAGTAGGGGGAAATAAAAGAAGTATGTCAGGCTTTGTGTTCCTACTTTAAATATTATGCTACATGGAAACTGAACTTAGTGCTTCCAAAATCCATCTGAAGATTTAAGTGTACTAAAAGAGGTTCCAGTCCTTTAGAGGTAAAAATTTAAATATACATTCATTCCTTCAACACCTAAGAAAACATTACTGTTCTTCTGATTGTCAGTTGTAGAGATTAGCACAGTTTAGTACTACAGCAGCAGCAATTATAGATGTCTTTAAAATATATACAGTAGCTTCCCTTTTTTTTTTTTTTTAATACTATGAAAAATTCCAAAATCCCACCAATACAGTAATGCAACTGTTGCTCACTTTTATAAACAATTGTTTTAAATACACTAAGGAACCACTGCAGTTTACCTCTGCTGTAGCAAAATATCACCAAATGGAAGCACACATATTTAACAGGCTTCTTTTATAAGCAGCAAACCCTAAACGTTTCAAGATGAGATTTGAATATTAAACACAGTAACATCCAAGCCAAGTTTCATACCTGTTATTGACACTTTAGAACCTCACTAGGCAGTGACCGAAATGTCTGCTTTGATGCGCAGTAGCAACTTCGGGACAGAATTTGGTACAACTCACACACCTACGTGAGGGACCTTTACGATACCTACTCAAGCTCACCATCCCCTGCGCGCCCTCTGGACCTCGGCTTCTCTCCCTGTGCATCCCGAGGTGGGGACGGGAAAATTTTCCTCCGGCCGTGGGGGGCCGGGCGCTGACTCCTGTCCCCTTCCACGCGAAACCGCGAGCGTTTTCCAGCTCTTCGTTCCTTACGGCGCCGCACACAGCCCGTGCGAGCCGTCGCTCCTGCCCCTGAAGATGCGCTTCCCTGCCTCTGGCATACTGCCTGGGGAAGATGCGCTTCCCTGCCTCTGGCATACTGCCGGGGGAAGGCAAACCCTGCCCACTGAGATGTTCGGTACTTCTCAGGACAACCAGAGGCAGAAAACGCCAGGTGGAAGGAAGCCACAGGAGTGAGGGGCGCACACCTCCCCCGCGCCCCCAGCTTTGCGGGGCGCTCACTCACGTAGGAAGCTGCGGGCTGCCGGCCGCCTCATCGCCCTCGGCCGCCGCCTCCTCCCCGATGTCGGGCAGGGTGATGAGCAGCCCCTTGGCCGCCGCCCGCCCCCCGGGCTCCTTCTCCGTCTCGCTGGGCGCCGGGCGCGGGGCGCGGCCCCGGCCGGACGGGGAGCGGCGCAGCCTGGAGAGAAGGGCGCCCGCCCCCAGGGCCGCCACCTTCATGGCAGGCTGGGACGGGAGCCCCTTCCCGGTGCCGCAAGCCCTGCCGAGGGGCCGGCAGCCTCCGGCGGGACTGCCCGCTGCCTGCGGCCCGGCAGGCGTTGCTAAGCGAAACAAACCCCGCGGGCACGCACCGCCCGGGGCGGGCGCACCGCGCCGGCGGAAGGCCCGGCAGCGGCCCCGACCCGCTGCGCACCTGCGGGGCGCCGGACAGAGACCGCTGCGACCGGAGAGCCGGGCACACAACAGCGTGGGATTTCCCCTGCAGTCAGAATCCCATCTAATATTAAGGGGCAAAAACGAAGCCCACCTGCCAGGGCAGCAGGGCCCTCTTCACACATCTGTGCGTATGAAGGGCTTAACCAGAAGTGGGGAGTGAGAGCGACCCAACCCAGCACATCTTTGTCACCATGCCAGGCAGAGGCAGAAAGGAGCTGTGTGGAATCAACAGCTCGCGTGCTTTTAAAGACACTCCCAGCCATCCTAGGCAGTTCGGAGGGCAGTAGAGGGTGACAGTGGTACTAGCCAGGCAGCTGAGGGCACGTGAGTAGGGAATAATTAACTTTGCCTAGCTTTCCAGCATTGGGTTGTCTGCCTGGCTGAACAGAAATATGAGCACACCAGCAGCAGTTTGGGAACACTGTAATGTTTAGTATTATGGACAATGCAAACTGTGCCAGCTCAGAACATGACCGGTCACGTGGCCCTTGGAGTGCCCAAAAGAACAGCATAGGCTGAAAGCTAGACCTGTTGCTTTATACATATGAGCCCCAGGATCATATATCAATCAACTAGTTGTGTACTATCGATTTTAAGTTGGCAGCTGCTGGTACATAAGAACCAAGGGTACAAAGTGAGGAATTTTATCCCTGCTTTGTCTTCCTAGCACATCAAGGAGTGCAATGAGCCAGCAGAGAGAGCACATAGAACACCAAGTACAGGACTGAGATTTGAAACTGGGGCATTCCTGGCCTTTTTCTTATAAACCAGAATAAATATGTTCTGAGAAAACCTCATGGAATAGGTGTACTTAAATCTAAGAGCACCACAATCTGAATTTATTCCTACCATGGTAAAAAGCCCTGACTGAGCCACAGTGGAAGTAGCATAAGTGAGCTCATTGGCGAGTAGTATATTTATCTCAGCTATATACATATGAACATCACTGTCTGTAACTTGTTCATTACTCCCTGTGTCCTGGTTCTGGCCAGAATCAGGTTTATGTTTGCAGTAGCAAGGAGGGACATGGCTAGGGGCCTGAGGTAATTCTGTGTCACCTCACATCAAGCACTAGGGGCAGGGGTTCTTTGTATTCCATGTGGTAAGAACTCACATGTGAATTGATCACCTCTCTTGCACATTCTGTTATTAATATTGTTCATGTTACTGTTTGGTTTTTGTTTCATTGCTTTTTCAAGTAAATTGTTCTTATATTAACCCATGATTTTTACCTTTTGTGCTTCCATTTCTGCTCTCCAGCCTGCCAGGGGGAGGGAGGAGTGAGTGAGCAGCACATGATTTAGGATACTAAATTGGGGAATACTATTCCTAAACCATGACACCCTGTCATTCAAGATCTGCAGAAACAGTCAGGCTCCACTCCAAATCTCCAGACTTGAGCATTCTGCCTCACTCAAGTCCTTTACATATTCTGCTTTAATCCTACGTAATATCTTTGATATTTCAAGTTTGGAACTTCAAACTTTTGATTTATTTGGCATTCAGCTCATCAGCAAATCAGCATTATATAATCTGATGCTGCCCACTGCGAAGAGACTGCCCAGCTCAGACATAGACTGAATCCTGAAAGCACTTAGAACTCTTACCCATGGTAAACCATTTATTTATTCTCAATAAAATTGTCAAACAAATCTACAGGAGCAGACCAGAAGTAAGTAACTTGCAGAAAAACAGGGAAATTTTAGGTCTGGTGTAACTGATGATTACAACTGGCCCTGTGATTTTTACTTCTGTGCCTTTTTTTTATACATTATGAACCTTTTTTTTTATTTTATACACTGGGAACCTTTATAATGTCTTTTACTGTGGTAATTATTTTAAACTGAATCTAGGAACTAAGAGGTTTAGAATGTATTAATCGTATTTTTTTATAATTTAAAGGGATTTTTCATTCATCATCACATACTTCTTGTTTGTATTCCTAGCTGTATTACAAAACTAAGCATTTATAAGATTTTTCTCACTGTTCTGAAACCAATTTTGGGGGCTTTTGTCGTAAATAGAAACAACTTTAAGAATTTAGACATCCTGCCATTTGTCAGGCTCTAAGGGTCAGAAAAGACCATTAAATAATCTAGTCTGACCTCTTGTATCACATTTCACTGCAGAATTTCTCCATGTGCTCTCTTCATCTTTATGTCATTTTTAATATCCATGTGAATACCAATAATATCAATGTGAACTACTAGCATTTTCTAAACAATTTATATTGATGTGGAAAGAGAAATTCTGCTGGTATGTGTCATCGCAGATTTAGGAAAGGAACCCTGTCACACATTAGTCTTTAAATAATAGAACAAACAATTGACATGGTGCATACCTGGCACACCATAATTACCAACTTGCCTCCTCAACTTTCATGGCCTAAGCATGAAGAAAGAATTTGTCACTTCGCCTGAAAAGGTCAGAAAGATGAGATGAAAGAATCACAATGGAGATAATCCTATTACTGTAATTAAGGAATCATCATCTATCACTTCAGCTGTAAACAAAGCCTGTTTTGTTTTCAGTCGAACTTCCCGAGCACACCCCCTTCACTATTCCAGTGCATGAAAAATCCTATTTCACTAATTATTTGTTTTGTTTCAGTTTTTATCATCATGGGACATAGAAAACCTATTAAAACCCAATTTTTCATCTACACATATAGCAAATGAGAAAAGCTGTTTAAAATGTGAAGTATAGAACTGTTCTCTAAAGCAGTAAAATAGCATTCTTGTAGCAATAGTGGTATTGAAGTCGATGAGGGAAATGCTAGGGGGAAAAAGACATTTAAAAATATTCCTGAGCTATTGAAGGATCACAGACTTACTAAAAGCTGACAGTTTTTAAAGGTCCTTGCAGCAGCAATTAAATATTAACAAAAATATACAAATGACTGTCTTGTGTCTAATTTACAATCACTTGTGCTCAGATTCACCATAAAATTTTAGCCAGTGTTAAACATTATAAACACTCTTGCAAAGCCCATTTTGCTCAGCCTCAGGTCTCTCCAGATCAAGCTGCTAGCCCATACGTTTGAACCTTAATGCCCTGGCAATTGCCATCTAGCCCACATTCCTGTAAAATATATTCAGGAAAAAATCAAACTAGCTTAATATGCAAGAAATAAACTACAGAATTCTGTCTGTTTTTTTTTTTTTTACAGTTTTCTTTTTAGCTATCAAAGGCTAAAAGGAATAAAAGGAAACAAAAAAAATTAAAATTAATCTAGTTTTGAAATTTTTTTCCCACTCCACCTCTAACTTGTGGTCGCAATAATGTTTCTGATATTATTTAAAACTATTTCTTTGTTTTTGCTGTTGTTGCTTTACCAGTAACATTTTTTTGTAATGAAATTGCAGTAGCACCAATTTCTCCACAAAGTTGTCTTTGTTATATTATTAAATATTATAAAAATTATATTATAAAAATATCTGTGCCTTTATTTATTTTATATAGGTGCAGTAGCTGTGCCTTATCCATGCTTCACATTGATTTCAAGTTCTGTGTCCAGGCCCACATACAGTTTTGTGTGCATTCTAAGAATCAAGGTGACATGTCTCAGTGTTAATGTCCTGACAGCTTTCTGAATTTCACCAGAGAAGAGCAAAATTTTTTCCTGATACCAAATTTATTAAATCAATTGACTCATCAGCCTGAAAGTCACTTTTTGATAGCAACCAGTATTAGCCCCACCAGAAGGCATAATAACAAAGGTTTTAAAACTCACTTCGAAACTGCTCACTTTGAAACTCACTTTTGAACTGCAAATTCTTGTTTTGAATTAATTTTCTGTGTTACTTACTGTGTTTCACAAGGAAAGCTTTCCAGCTGGAGGCACTGAATCCCCATGTTTCAAAAGCAAGAAGTAGTGTCCACTCTACCTTCTACAAATAATATCCTGTTTTATCATTAAAGTATTTTCTTTTGTATATCCCCTTAGAGAGTCTGTCTTTTCTACCCTATATCATTTCATAGATCAGTGATTCTCACTGCTTTTCAAAATTTCTACCACATCTTAAATACACTGATTGAAATGACTATCCACCATGATCCCTTTTAACATCACTTCAGTGCAGTTGAATTAAAATATGAGCAAAAATACTAATACAAACAAATAAATTTAAATTATATTGACTCTTACATATATTTACAGGGTGACAAACTTTTTCAGACCTTCATGAAAGGCTTGCTAGTTTTCCAGTGGTAGAAAATATACAATAAAATGACCCCATAATTCAAATCTATAGTTCAAAAATCAGTGCACTTTACTTTGACATTTAAGTGCCATCACTAAGTGCTGATGAAATGCACTGATTCTTTCCTTCTGGGCTGGCCAGTTCAAGATGCAGCGAGATCTGAACATTCCTCTTCTCAGGTGAAGTGCATGATATAACTTGTAATCTTGGATATCTTCAAGAAAGATCAGTATGATGGAGTCCCGACTTTGTTCAACAGCTTGCTGAAGAGCATGATACACCTTGAAACTGAAGCAAAAACAAGACAAAAAACAGTGTTTTCTATTATGTGAAAGAAAAAGAAAATGCAAAAAGTTCTTAACGAGGGTCTTCATGACTGTTTTGTGATATAAAATGGTTATTACTTTTCTTAAACTAATTGCCTCTAGTGAAAAAAAAATGCTTTAAAAATATAACCTACATCTACTGCCTTGATTTACGAGACCACTATAAAAGAATGGTGAAAAGACTAATTTAAAGGCAAACAAAAATCATCTTTGAGTGCTAGTGGTCTCATTCATTGTTGCTTTTCTTCAAATGTGTAATTTTAAGGAAAGCAATCTGCAAAGGTGTCAGCCTGACTTTTGGGAAAAAAACCCCAAACAACCAAAACAACAAAACAAAAGACCCCCCCACCAAAAAAAAAAAAAAAAAACAAAAGCAAAAAGAAAACCAACAAATCAACAAACAAAAAAAACCCCAAAAAACACAACAAAAACAGACAAAAAACCCGAACAAATAAATCAAACAAAAAAACCACAAAAAAACACCCAAGAAAATGATTACAACATTGACTTAAACATTCAAATGTACTCTACCATATATGTGAAACAATTAACTTTATTAATTTAGGAATTATTCTGAAGTTACAATATATTAGATAAATATACTGAAGTAAAGCTTGAGTGGGTATTGTTCATTAAATGCTATTTTTTTTTTAATTTCAGTTAAAAATTATCTTGTTAAAATATCTCTTAAGAATTTTTTCCCCTTACAGATAAAATTTTATATGCTACTCACTTTTTACACCAGGGATCCTGTAAAAGGTGTTCAGTCACAACAAAAATAATCTTCCTGCTCGTTTTAATGCTGTTAATTGTGGCTTCAAATTCAGATACACCTGCTTCAAAATCCCGTTCTTCTAAACAAAACTTAATTTCAAAGTGGTTATTTTTTTCTAGAGACATGAAATTTTTAGACACCCAATTCTTGTCCTCTCTTGCATGAATAACATAGGCATCATAATCATACTGTTCCTGATGTCTCTCAAATTCTTTAAAACCAAGAATTCGATTGACTAAAACATTCCAGTAGAAAGCTATTCTCCACCCTTCAAAATGGATGGTAAGGACAACAAAAATGAACACCATTACAATAGTGGTAGAGATCACAAAAAGAAGTTTAAATGGAGCACTGTCTTTGCAGGCTGAACTATCAAAATACAAAACCAGACTACCATGATATTTAGGTGGGGTGTTGCAAATGTACTGGGACCTCAATCCAGGTATATCTGCTTGGGTCTCATTAAGCCAATCAGCAAACCAAGCAATGCTTTCACAGGTACAATCAAAGGGATTGGAATCCATCTCAAGTTTTCTCAAGCTCCTGAAAGGTGGGCCAAATACTTTTTCTTCAACTGAGGTTATCAGATTTTTCTGAAGGTTCAATGAATTCAGAGAGGCTTGGTCATCAAACAGAGTTGCTGGAAGCAAATTCAAATTATTTGATCCTAAATCCAAGTGTTTTAATTGAAACAGACCCTTGAAAACCTGAACTGGAATTTCATCAAGCCCATTTGATTTTAAATTAAGAATTCGCAAATTGGGAAGACCTTTTAAAAAAAGAACAGGGCCACCCGGATTTGCATGTTTCCAAAGCCGGGCTAAATTATTGTGCTGCAAATCCAGGATGTCAAGTTTGTCAAGTCCATCAAACAAATCTTCTTTTATGTTTGCTATGTTGTTATTGCTGATGTCCAGGACAGTCAGGTTTCGTAGATGATGAAAAGGTGAAGGAGAAAGTTCCAGATTACTGCAGCCTACCTTCCTCAGCATCAGTTTTCTAAGGCTTGGGACAAAAATGAACGATTCACTTTGCAAAGTCAAGTTTTTATTATAGGAAAGATAAATATCTTGTATATTATTGAGACCTTTAAACTCATGACCTGTAAGCTGTTGACTAATTTCATTGAGACCAAGATCAAGAATTTTCAGGTGTCCCAGGGAAGAAAATGCCTCACTTTCTATTGTAGAGATTCTGGTTTTTGTGAGGTTGAGAACCTGTAAGCTAGAATTAGTAAGTGATGAAAATGTTTTATTAGTTATTCTTTGTAAGTTTATGTTGCAGTTGCAGAGACTCAGATATTTCAGGTTGTTCAGACCTGTGAACATATTAGCAGTAATTCCTGGAAAATTGTTATTATCCATTATAAGGTACTCCAGGTGGTACAGCCAATGAAAAGAAAAATCCTCAATTTTCCCACTAAGTGAGTTTATGAGATTCAAATGTTTAAGGCTGGATAATCCATAAAATAAACGTGAAGATACATGAATATTATTAATCTTCAGGTTTAAGTATTGTAAACTTGAAAGCCACTGAAATGAGTCATTTTCTATGAGTGAGAGAGAATTTTGGGAAAGGTTTAAAATTGTAAGATTTGTTCCTTGCAGTCCCTGGAAAGTTGACTTGCCAATGTAGGAAAGTTTCACACGGCTCAGTGAGAGGTTTCGAATCTCTGTGTTTGATAATTCTGTACAAAGTTTCTTTGTGCGATTTTCACCAAGTTCAACTTTGTTCAGTACGAGGCCAAACAAATTTCCAATTGTATGGAAACATCCCGTATGAAACTGAAAGTACAAGAAAAAAAAAGTCTTGAGCTAAACAAGGGAATTATGTAAGAAAGTTGACCAATGAAACAAAAACTTGGAAAGGTTTTCAAATGTGATTTTCATGCAGGATAGAACTCCTACACTCAGACTGCTTCACAGCCAAGCTCAGACAAACACTTTGGAGTTTACACTTCTTGTGACAATACTTCTATCATTTATAATATGATTATCATAAATTTGAGTAGTTTTATTTTAGAAGAAGATAGAAAGTGGCTTAGTGAGATGCAAATTTGTGTCCAACAAACAAAACTCCTTCTCTAGAAGTATCTTGAAATTTTTGATATCTTTCTTCAGCTTTCTTTTATTGACATAGGTATACTAATTTACTAGTTATTAGGTCTGCAGACAGACAAGAAGAAACCCATTTTCTCTGTGCAAGCTGAAGTTACTATGAAATCTAATACTACACACTTGTTTTCACAATATGGATCACAAGCTTTTATCATAGTCCTGTCCTCTCATCTTGATTAAGGTATGAGCGGATGGATTAATTACTCCATTTTTCAGAATGATTCAAATGCAAAAGGCTGCTTTTTAGAGAGCAGTAATGTAAAACAAGAACAGCTGAAAGTGGCACAAAGTAGCAGTGCCCAAGAAAGGAGTAGTGCCATTTACTCATCCACACCCTGTACCCTTATGCCAGACTAGCTCTACATGCAGTAACACAGTGAACCAGGTAGGGAATCAGTGTGGCTACAAGCTAACCAAGCCAAAATATCTGTAGAGTTTCCCCAGTGATCCACTGCATAGCCTCATAAAAGTTGGTACCAAAAATAGGGAGGGATGAAGTGGCCAAGCAAAATAGGGTGGTGGGATTCACTCTTAGCACTGATACAAACTTATACCACTTTAAAATATTATTGTAGGTTCAATGTACATATTTTTTAGAGATCAATCAACTGGAAACAAAGCAAAACAAACAAACAAACAAAAAACCCAAACAAACCTAGGAAATTCAATGCATATTCAGTATTCATATGCTGAGGGTGAACCAGTTTAGAATTGCCATACTTAACCATAACTCTTCAAAGAATCATAACACTGAGATGCAGGTCAGAGAGCACAGCGAGATAGATGGAAGACAAAGCACCTATGTGTTTTGGGTTTTTTTGGTTTTTTTTTTTTAAGAGTGAGTATATGTTTCTGGAAAGATTATTTCTCTGGTGTTTCCACAGCCACAAGCTGAATGCTCTCTTTGATTAACTGGGAAGTGAAACCTATATTGTATAAGCAGACTTGCATAGTACCACACTTTTTACCCACTTACCACTTAGAAAGTGTGCCAGCCTTTCACCTTCAGCATGTGCAGAAAAAGTTCTGCATGGCAAATACCAGGTAAGGATTCTTAGAGCATCTAAATTTAGGTCTTACTTGAGACCTCTGATCTACATGGAACCAGCCTATATGAAATGTGCCAATTTCAGTGGCAAAACAATAATTCTGTAAATCACTGCTGGAGGTCAGGAGTAATGCTGTATAAAATAGAATGGGTTTTGGACCTCAGTGGATCAAAATTGTAATGTAAATGCCATACAATCATAAAGGGTAAATCAAGATCGTTCCATCTTATACTTACACCTGTTACATTTCTGTTGAAATGCTTCCTACCTCTTTTAGTGGATTTGATGACAAATCTAGGCTATTCAATGAGGTGTTACGAAGAAAACTGAAGTCTTCTTTTTTCAACTCAGTGATTTGGTTGCCACCCAACATGAGCTCATGGAGTTTCTCCAACTGTTGCTCCAATCCTAAATTGGCTGACTTTAAAGAATTATGAGATAGGTCCAAAATATTCAAGTTCTGGAGAGAAGATGCAAGAAAAAAAGGTATAAAAATACTTTTAAAATCTTTATTTTATGTAATACACAAAAAGATTTAGAAATATTTAATTAGAGTATAACTGATTAGAAATTAGTAAATAAATTTGTAATACAGAAATGGCAGCTTTCTAGCTCCATCTGGAAGAAGTATTCTGTATCTTTCACACTAGTAACTATAATGGCATTAATGGTATTAACCTGCTAAAGTATCTACTGCAAACCAGATTTAGTTAAAGTTACTTAATGCACTGAAGGCCCCCCGCCTCAGATAAAGTGATAAATGCAAAAGCCTGCAGGTGGCTGCAGTTACAACTACTGCAGTACTAAACATTGCATTCCATGCTTTTTCAGCATGGTCCAGCCCTGTAAATGCAATGAGGAAGGTGAATTCCCTGCATGGAAGCTGACTGCACTCTTGTATATAGTTGTGTCAGCAGTCCTACAATGCAAGCAAGTACACTTCATGCAACTGAACTGGAATACTGAGTTTAGCAGGAATGTTCAGACTTACTCAAAACCACATGCGTATTCATTGGAACACTGAGTGACAATTAATACCTACACATTGTCTTTACTTTTTCTTGTCCCTAAGCTCTTCTTTTTGCATGTGACCCGCCTGGTGCAAAGACAGTGAAATAGTCCTTTCCTGCTTTCTGTGGTGGTCCCCCAGTCTCTGCCACAGACGAGAATATTTAACCACATGTAAACTACCAGAGAAAGCAAAGGTACAATTAAAAACATTTTTACTCTTTCTCAATTCTTTAAGTCCTTTGAGACACTACATTCAGACGAAGCACTGGCCTTCCTGGCTCGAATACTTAAGCGTCAAGAGAATTTAGGCTACCAGCTAAGATTCAGGCAGCTCAGATTCCACAGCATCCACTTTGCTACTCTCATCATCTGCTGCTCCTGCTCACTCAGTACATACCCTGCATGGAGAGGTGCTTCAAAGGGATGCAATACAGAAAAAGGAATAGAGAGCATTGACTCACAAAGATTACCGAGACTCCAACATGCTGAAACAGAAGAAGCCACAAGGCTTCTTCTTCAGCAAAAATCAGTGAAATATTTTATTTTGGGTATTTTGAGATACCAAGACAGCAAAACTGTATATGCACTGGAAAATACAGTAAATTGCCCATTTATACTTTATTTACATAAAAAAGTGCATTTCTAACTCTCACCTTCAAGGTTTTGAAAGGATCATTTTTTATATTTAGTCTGTTGTATCCCAGATTGAGCTCGGTCAGGTTGGTGCAGGAAGCAAAGACTCTGTCAGGGAGCTTGCACAATTCATTATGTTCTAACTTCAGAATCTGCAACAGAGGCACATTTTGGCACAATTCTGGTTGCAGTTTAGAGATGATGTTGTAGCCTGCATTCAAGTAAACCAGCTGGCTGTACTTGGTCAGATTTGCAGGATCTAGCTGTCTTAGCTGATTATGAGAAATGTCCAAACTCGTTATATTTTTTGGAAGATCAGAGGGAATTTGAGTCAGCTTTAGGTGACTGCAGTCAGCCATTTCATTTTGGATATGACATTGATTTCCAGCTGATGCACACGGCCAGAAGACAAACATCAGTCTGACATATAAGCTGCTCCACCAAAGAATAGCGTTTTGCATCATTCAATCTGCAAAGGCAAAATGAACACAGCAAATTATAATCATTTTGACACAACTTGCATCTTCAACTGAAGGCGAAGCAAGCAAGGCTTAAAAAATTTGTGATTTCATAGTGAGCAAACACTCAGAGCTTTTAACCCACATTTTTTTTTCTGTATTCATTTCTGCAGAAGATTATGTCTAATAATCTCTCTAAATAAAGACTTTTATCTAAAAGCAATAATATTGTCTTGCATAGAAATAGGTATGTTCAAAAAGTTACCAACTTTATCTATTATCAATGAAAATTTCCAGTCACTTTCTCTTTTCTGATTAATTTTGCATTGCTTTAACATTCATAAAATACAATAAATATGACAAATTGTACATAAGCCTCTCAGTGTTAGCAACTGATCTCTGAGCTTAATTTCATGTAAAATATTTATAGTAATACCCAGTAAAAATGCAAAATATACCACTTCTTTCTTTTCCTGTTCTTGCCAGTTTTTATTTTACAAGTCAGTCACACAAAATTCTATCTGTCATACCATCTTACAGAGAAAGAAGGAATACCAGACTAAGGAAACATATATGAGAAAGTAAGAATACAGAAAATAAATCAATAACAACCTAATCTGAGAAGAGCCAAGGTGTAGAGGAGACATTGCCCATAGATTCAATACATTTATCCAAATACTTTCAGGAAAACTTACACCTTCAAGGATCTATAAACTCCACCCCATATTTTTTGGTCATTTAGATTAGGATATCAACATTGAAACTCTAATTTTCAATGATTCTACCTGTTTTATCATTACCTTTCTAATGAATCTTAGGCTTTTTTCATATTTTGTTCATTTTCCACTTAGTATCCATTAGATTTAAATTCACCTGGTGATCTTGTAATGAAACTGTACTACACAAGGAAGAAAATTAATTCCATATATATTCTGACCAGAACAGAGTTCTAAGAGCTCAGAAGGGTTTGACTAGCCTTATGAGTCACAGAGCTTGTCTACTTAAATGGCTTTTCTTCTAATCAAAAGAAGAGTCCTCTGTATATTCTATATTATTCTCTACAGAATTAATATTTAATAGAGGAAGAACACACTTTTTGAGTGCTTGCCAGAATGTTTTTTTCATGCTGTAGCAGAGGACAGTAAGCTTATGTTCCTGTCTTCAATTTTTTCTTTTTAAAAAAATATAAAGCTTATACTTTCAACCCTGATGCTTAAAGTGCCTCCACAGTCTTTCTACACACATATCTGTTTGGCCTTCTGGCAACAAACTTGGAACCCACCTACCAATCTCAATTCACCAGTTAGTTCAGGCTCAGCAGGATGGGCTCCCAGGCAGAGAAGACTATTAGTGCCTCAGTACAGAACAGGCTATAGATGGGAATAAACCTGCCTAGACTTAGCAGGAAGCTAGAAGAGCTTCTCAAAAGATTAACCCATGGGAAGTGTGAGCTTTCTTCCTTCTACAGCTCCCATTTTCCTTTGCCAGGAACCTGTGTTTAATTAATATGATCAAGCTTTGAGCACATTAGAGTATCACGCTTCAACAAACAATGAAACAAGAAATGAGAAGAGAAATTAAACCATCACATTTGTATAGAAAAAAGGAAAAATTCTTCATAACTGATGTTTTCTAAAGAGACAAATTTCCACTAGCATAACAAAACACTCTAAGGAGTTGACACTGCAGCCTGCAGCCAAACAGGAGCTTAGCAGGTCAGACCCCAGCAGAGTTTGACTCCATAGCTGACCTGCCTTTTCAGAGGGTATGCATTAGGACTGCTCCAGTGACAAAAAGTCACATTATAGTGGCCAGAGATGAAACTTATGACTGCCTTTTTGGGAGCAACCTGGTCATTTAAGGAGAGACTGTTGTATAACCCAGTGAGGGTGGGGGTACAAGCAAGGGATACAGGGACATGAAGCATTGCAAAGGCACACATAAAGGGCTATAAATGATGGTTTAAAAGGAATCTTAATGAAAAAAACAATCCCCTACTGGGTACTCTGTGTCAGGCTGACCCACAAGCTGCAGCTCTCATAGCCTGGCCACTTATCTGCCACTGATTATTGGGGAAGAGGAGGGGACAGCAAACTCTTGGTCCTTCAGATAGCCTGGCCTGCTATGGTTGCTGCCACACACACAGAACCCGTGTCCCCAGCTGAGAAAAATAAAGCACCACTTGTCCTGCCTCTTTCCTCTGCACCTCAAATGCTGGAAACAATAAGGAAAACAAAAGGGCAGCTATCTGACAGAAGCTTGCATCCTGGTCTGCATCATTCTCAAGGTTTGTTTTAGGGTGATCAGATAGCTACTGGGCTCTGCAGCAATTGTTGCCAGCTCACCTTTAAATTTGAAAGGCGGAAAAATGTACTGCGCAGTCACAGAACAGGTTCTTTAGCTGACTTCCAGCGTGGCCCAATGGACTGCCTTTTCCTGTTTTTTTCACTGCAAGAAATCTGGAACCATCTTTAGGTGTTTTAGCTTTGTGGTTTTTTGTTTAAGGGTCCAGCGAAGAAAGCACACGCCCATTATCAAATTTCAGGGACAGCGTTTCAGACAGACAAAAGAAATAAATACAGTTTTAACATTATGAGCAAGACCTTTAAAAACTGGCATTGATTTGGCTAATTTGCAGGTGAAGAGAAATCCAGGATAAGGAAATCACCCAAACCCCTGAGCAGCACTTTGCCTTTGCACCTCGATATTCACATTTATTACTATGAAGTGAAGAAATTTTACCGACTCACCTCTGCGGGCTTTATCCTTTTGTGTCTGGAAGCATCCCACCTCTGCACTAGCTTCTCAGCACACGAAAACCATGGGGAAACACCCTGCCCACAGTCGGAAGAAGTGAAACCGAAAGCGCGGCCGGGCGCAGCGACGGAAGCGGGAGCGGCGGGCGGGCGGGATGAGCATCCCGGGCAGCGGCTGCCGCGGGGCCCCTCCGCAGCGAGGCCTCCTGAGGTGAAGGAAGGCTTCAGGGGGGCTGAGGGTGGTTACAGCTCCTGACCTCACAGTCGGGCTGCTGCGTGTGGTTGCTGACCGCAAGTAAACGGGTTGAAACACATATTTGTCGCAAATGAGCAGCATCATCACGCGATCCTATTTAAAACTCAGTTACAATTTATCCTCTGGCTATTTCCAGTGTCTCTGAAAATCCTCAAGGACATATTCCAAAAGCCAATAGCCTGTCCGACAGCTTACTGACATAGGAATATTAGTTTTTAAAGTAGAAACAGCAACAATGTTTCCTACAGAGCCATGCACAGTTTTCCCTTTAAAAGGGAATTTGATTATGTGAGATAGTGATATATGTCATTTCTAAGAGAGAAAATAAAATATTTTATGATTAAAAAAACCCAACAAATCAACAAATTGTTTTTAAAAGTCCAAGTTTCAGGTACAGCTTTCAGATGTGTGTCCTCTTCATACTGTTTGTGTATCTGTGTGTCCCTGCTTTCCAAAGGACCTGACCATCAGTTTCCTGGAGGGGAGTTTCTCAGGACCAGCTTCTGGACATGACAAGATGTGCTATTGCTTCAACTAATTGGCATTCATGAATATTCTGCAGATCTGATCCAGCTATACGTAGGACACACCAACAGCCGAGGTCACCAGGCACTTTTAAGTAATCATGCAGTCCCCTCTTAAGTGGGAGGGGAAGAGTGAGTAGCTGCAGACTAACCCAGAAAAGAATAAAGTTGGGCTTTGATTCTTCATTGGAAGTGATTGATATTATAACCTGCAGCAATGTGTTAACTGCCTGCCCATCAAGAGCTCGGGGGAGGGAGGGAGCTTGTGCTGGTTTCTTCTCTAAATCTGGGACTACCAGCATATCTGCTGTGGAGGAGGCTGGCTGGGAGATGGGCTGAGTAACAAAGAGGTTGAGGCCCTTACGTCCTACTTCTGTCCTCTGAATTCTTTCAGCAATTGCCAAATAGAAATTAATTTTTATTCTTGGAGTTGAGACAGAAACTGAGACAGAACCAAGATCCTTTGGAGCTGAAAGGCTCTAAAGCCTTTCATTCCCATTTCACAGTTAAACCTTGAGCCTCTCTTTCCTCTTGGTGTGGGAGGAATAAATTTCTGTTCTATGCTGTCCAGTGTGCTCATGTCGGGACAAGGCCATTTGATCAGAAGGACAGCCAGCTGAAATCCTATTGAGTTAATCTGAAGAGGATTTTTCGCTTTGTGTGTTGTAATTCTGCTGCTTTAAAACATAGGAGATCACAATGATGGTAAGAAACATAATAAATAACAACCTGCAGATCACTATTCCAGCATAGGAATACTCTCAGGTATTTTCTCTCTCCCTACACCATACTCACAACTACAGATAAAATGTGGGTTTTGATCCTACCTTACGATTTATTGCTTCTCAGACCTCTCTTCCCTATTGACATAGGAGACTGTAAGGAAGCTATAATGGAGGAAAAACATCTAATGCTGGTGAAGCTGTTCATTTTTCCACTAAGGCTTTTCCAACACTCTAGCCTTACAAAAATATCAGTGGCTCGGGGAGACAACAGCACATGGGTGGTCAAAATCTCCAGTCTTTTGGAGCTCTTGCACTGGAGGTAAGAACATTTATTTTAGTACAGAAAATTTCAAAGCCATGAAGCTCTTGAAAACATTTTGCAGTGAAATTTACAATGCCAGCAAGATACACTGTGCAAGATACACTCTAGGGCATACAGAACCAGTGCAGATTCAGCAAGTATGGTTGGAAGTTCTGAGACAGGCAACAAAGTGGATACATTTGTGCTTACTTCAGCAGTGCTCAATCCCCCCAAGTTGCCATAACTCCACTGTGTAGCCTACTTTACCCTACACTTATTTCAAGTGCTGGAAAGAACATGACAGCACATAATGTTAGGCATAGTTAAGCAATCCACATGTCCAGAGAATAATTTAGAAAAAAAGCAGCACAATAATTAAGCAAGGATCTCACAGTGGGGTCAGGGTAAGCTTGAGTGAGGTGATTCTGAATGGTGACAAAACCCAGTCAGGCAGAATACTGGGGATGTAGCCATTTCACTTACATGTTTAAGGGCAGAGTAACCAGCTGCTGCACAGACCCAGCTTAAGCTTATCCAGTCTATAAATGCAGAAGGGTGGGGATGTGCATGCAGTATCTCACAGAACACTGCCAGAGCTAACATGCCACCAAAACTGAGGCTAGGAGAAAAGGAAGTCTACTGATCTTACCTGATCTTCAGATACAAAAGAGTGTATTAACTTAGCACATGGGTAAGTTTAATACACTGGGGCTTCAGTGTTTTTGTAACCTGCAAGTCACACTGCAAGCATCAAGGAGAAGACCTAAACTGAGAGAACACATGCAGACACTTCCAATGACTATCAGCCACTCAAAAGGTGAAAGCACCTTTTGTTGTGGTTGGATTCAGACCTCCTATGCAGCAATGGACAGGTTCATGGAAACAGAATTTAAAGATGTCTGGAAGTGAGCATAGCTACCAGGACAAAGAAAGCAGGAAAGAGCAGACCTGAACACTAAAGATCTGAGTCAAGTCTTGACAGGGGACTTCCTGCAACATCAAGGCAGCTAGAAGGGACAACAGTGTGGCAAACCAAGTTAGCTTGGATGTGACTCCTGAGACAACAATAGATGCTTCTTCTCACGTGATTATGTGAATTTGGCTAAGTTTAACTGTGCTGTTGAAGTATCTAGCAGGTCATGTGACTTTTAGATGCACTAGTTCCTCTAAGGCTGCTCAGTCAATACTGCTAATTTTACAAGTTATAAAAATTAATTTACATTTGATTTTTGTTGATACAAAAGTGGAAAAGAGTACATGGGGATTCACAGGCAGAATATGTTTACTAGCATCCTCCCAAACCTCAAAGACTGAATTTACTTCCATGCATTTGTTTGTTTAATTCCTCTTGCGTACTAAAAAATGTGTTTGTGAATGAAATTCGGGAACATGACCTGGGCAGGTAGCTGAGAACTCAAGCCATTGTTTGGGATTTAAGGTATCTAGTAGCCAGCCAAGAGCAGTGGCTCTGACTAAAGTGTTTATCACCTGGAAGTAACATTCAAAATGCCAGTGAATATGCAGAGATAAAGTACAGCCTTGACTCATCAGCTGTGACAATTTTCTGATGTGTTGCACTGACTGTAAAGATCAACTGCTACTGCAGAATAGGTCACACTCCCTGAGCAGAACAGGTATCTGAAATATTCTGGCTTGTAAGAGCATTCACAAAAGTTCATTTCACTACAGTTAGGTTGCTTTACTTAGCCTAGCCAGGAGGCAAATTAGAGAACTGAGAATTCAGCTCTAGGATGGATTCCTGTTCAAACACTGCCTCTCCTCTCTTTATTGTGACAGTTTCAAAGGCAGCCTTTGCAACCCTTTTCACTTTATCTTCCACTGCTCCAGCAAGGATGCATCAATACTAGCACACATATTATATCAATGACTTTACTTTTCATCCAGGGAATTCTAATCCCAAAGAGAGAACCCTGGAGCCAGAAAAAGGAGAAGTCACTAACTTTTAAGTTAACCTTTTAGACAGAGTTAGAGGAGGTCAAAATGTTTCACTTCATTTTGCCACCATTTTATAACAGAGGTCCCTCAATGTTTCGTGTTTGCAGCACAGGATTCAGGTATATATAACTATTGCTCTTAAATGTTTTAGCATTTTTTTGTAAGGAAGTAGTAAAGAAGCTAGAATTTAGGACTTAGATGTTCTTGTGTTGTGGAAATATTTTTGTATCTCCAATATCTCTTCCCAAAAGTTGACAGCCTTCCTAAAATCTTGTTCTTATCCAGATTTCTCAATTAAGCATGCATATTAAATATGTCTGATTTGCAATAGTTTCTATTTAACAGCATCTTCCCACAGTGTTTAATTGTCTGGTTTCAGAATCCCTTCCATTTTTGTTGTTCCCCCTTTTTCTGGCATGTTGCCATGCATGTTTTCACAGTGTATTTCCAACAAGAAATCTATATCCCAATTCAGGTCACATACAGCGGCTCCCACTGTGAGCACAGCAAACTTTAATAATAAAGTATAAATTCCATCATTTGATTTACGGTCATGCTTGCAACACAAAGAGCAAATATTAGGACAAGCCTACCACTTTTAGAAATATTTTCCCACTAGGATTTTAGGCAATGTAATCTCTGGAATCTGAAGGTAACCTGTATTTAAAAGAGCCACAGGTGTATTTCAGCTTTCCATTTACTGAAATCTCTATCCTGTATCTTTTTTCATTGGATTTTTTTTCCCTGAGGAATCTCTGTGGCTTCAAAGCTCTAAATACTCAGATTCCCTTTGAGCTTACAGAAGGTAAGATGCACAGAAGTAAATAACTATGAAAACAGCCAGATAGTCCACACTTTGTAATTCCTCATCCCCAAGAAGTATTTGGCTGTGCTGACAGCTGACTTCTAATCCAAAATTACTTCTTTACAAAGGCCCAAGCACATGTCTTGTCCACACTTATTTTCTAATATCTCTCATGAAAATATGGAAACAGTCGCAATAAGTTATTCTTTGGGTTGTTTTTTCCTCATGAAAATAAGTGTATTTTAAACCCTATCATATTTCAGTACAATAAAAGGAGACATTCTCAGCTGCCAGGTATTAAAAATTTCCTGAAGTGTATCACAACAGCCATATACATGAGTTGCTACATCCAACTTCTATTACAAGGTAGTAATCAAATCATGAGCATGCTTTTAAATGCATGTTCATAAATATTGATGGTGAGCCTTCTGGAAGTATGGACTTTACATGGACTCCACAGAGATGATCCTACTTCTGTGTATTCTACCCAGCTGTGTGGGATTTTGGCAATGCTCTGTTTTATTGTGATGAATTCAAGGATATTCACACATTGCTCCCAATACAACTTTGTTTACTTTGCCTTCTAT